CCCCAAAACCCCAAAACCCCATCATTTAATTAATTCATAAATTTGTGGAATATGATTAAACTCTTAATCTTTCTATTTATTAATAAAGTAGACTTACTTATTAAGTGAAATATTGTAAAAATCTTATTTAACTTATAATATTGTTTGATGTTTTGTCGTTGAGACTCTTGATTTCATTACTCCTACTCTACTAGCTACTTTTTTAGCATATCTGATCGCTTTCCTTTCCAAAGGCCTTAATATGCCAAACAATAGCCAGTAATTTTGTCAATGAGATAATCACCGTAAAGCATCTCTTCATATTATTTCTCGACCTCATCAGCATCCCTTGCCTTATTGGCATCATTTTCAATAACACTCAAACTCTCTTTGTCCATAATAGTTGAGGGTATCTTTGCAGCATAGTGAGGCTCAAAGAAGAAGGGACTAGAATATCTATCATCTCCTATATCAATCACTCTATGGAGAGTAGCTTTTAAGATGTAATTAGTTATTCTTGATAGCATATCTCCAATATTGATGACAAAAGCGTGCTTGACTGGTCTAACTGATCTGAATTCATCATTCACCAAGACTTAGAGACCTGGATAGCCTAAAGTGGAGAGCAAGGTAACGAAGCCTGAATCAGTATGTTAAGCAATTGTAATTCTATATTAATCACCAGTAATCAGGTCATTGTTAACTAATCCTCATGATCTAGGAGTGTAATGGTTTATGGAAAATGTGGACAGAGTATCATGGCTGTACCATTAATCGAAGAAACCAGCAGGCTTTCCTAAACCCTCAGCAATCATGCCTACCAATTCAGATGCTACACTTACCCTTAGATTGTAGTGACCTTCCATATACTCTCTGAATTGTTTGCTTTCCTCAGGTTCAACTGGCCATGGTGTCTCTTCATGTAATGAATACTCTTTTTCCTCTTCAGTCACTTGATCGTAAGGAAGTCCCATGTCAAAAATTTCAACATGAGATGGATCATTGTCAATGAAGGGAGCAAGTCCTCTGTAGATATTCTTGTTTTCGGAATTCCATACTCTCTTGTGTAACTTTTTCTTTTCTTCCTCTGAAAGACTGCAGAACCATTTACCCCAATGTAGCAAATCACTCTCATCGTATCCAGGCACATTGGTAATTAAGAAGAATCCCATTGTTTTCAACTCCTTAAAGACCTCATCAATGATTTTTTATCTTGGCCAGGTCCAGTCTATCTAAGCTAGATCATAGAATTCCCCTAGTTCTACTGATCCCTTGGTAGTTGCTGTCTTCCTAAGTGATTCCTCAAGAAGCAATGACGTTTGCTATTGCTATTAATTTGTGTACATTTAAATATAATATAATCCTAATGCTTTCCTAATATATATCTAAGGTAAAATCTAACGATTTAAAATCTTAAATATCATTTCTTAGTTTCATTTCCTCTCATAAATATGTCTTCTTGGGGTTTTGGGGTTTTGGGGTTTTGGGG